AGCATCAAAATAGAAAATAATATTGATTTTGACAATGTGTGTGTGTGTGTGTGTGTGTTACCATTTAAACTGTGTAATTCTAACAGATTATCCCTGAAAGCTGTATTGTACCTCAATTTCTGGTTCATTGACCGCGAACTCGACCAGGTTTTGTCCAGTTTCCTTGATTCTTTGTGCCCCTTGTTTTGGTTCTGTCCCTGCACGTTCTCTTGCGATCTGTGGGGAATATAATTATTGAAATAATCGATCTCCATGACCTCGCGGGTGTCAGTCGATTTCGTTCCGAGGGATATGATAAGGATAATAGCCAAAGTCTGCATCTGATTTGTCTTTGCTAATTGTTTTTATTACATGGGAGTGAATATTTTCGTAGCAATTCTAAAACCGCTTATTGATAATGTATTCATAATTCTACTTAATATGTGTAAGAGTTAGGAATTAAATCCTAAAGCTCAAGAAACCGTGTGCAGATGATATTTCTTTCCATAGTATGTCGTACAGTTTTAAACTGTCTTTGCCGTTAAATAAAATAAATAAATAAGTGATAAATAAGCTAATACTTCCCACATTTGCCTCTATTACAGAATTATTTTTGATTTTTTCTCATCAACATGATGTACAGCTGTACCCAATAATGCAGAAAGTCGACAGTTGTCCAAACTTTTTCGTTTATTGACGTTGATATGTCATGAAAAGTTGTATGTATATGTTTATTCGCTACATTAGGCATAATATTAATATAAATAGAGTTTAAATCTAGAACTCTGAAGTAATTGCACAAATAAACCACAGCATATTAATTAAAAAAGAAAATGAAGTGATAAATACTTTGTAAATAATAATATCCCTGCCCACTGGTTAAGTTCATAATTAAACACGTCCCACTCTGCTAATGAGACTGGAAATCTAATCCTTCCTTGCAGTACGCCTTCCTTGACAGTATTATAATTCGCCTGCTTAAACAGAACGCGCATGCGCCGAGTATGGGAAAGCACGTCACTCTCCTAGGCTCTCTTCGGGCCTTTTTCTTAAAATGCTTAAAATACGTCGTGAAGCGAGCCACCAGCCGAAGTAACCAACCCTTTGCCTCCGGGAGAGGATTGAGTCAATGCATTAAGAGGGCATAAGAGACACATTTCCCGGGCTTATGTTATGAAATGTTCGATCTGTGAATATAGATTGTACCGCGTTAAAGAAAAGTTCAATTTGTTTTGTTTTTTTAAATTTAATTTATTTTGATTGCTGTGCAACTGCATGATCATAAGCAGTTGCACAACGATCTAATGTAAATGAAATAAAAACAAACTGAACATTTCATTATTGTGGTTCAATTTATATTTTCAGATAAAAAATACAGACTCGTGGCATTGCGAAGTCATACTTTCTCGCATTCTTGTAGCTTTTTCAATTTTGGAAAACTCAAAGACTTCAACGAAAATGAGATCTGCGCCATTTTTAAGCGTACTTTCCTCTTTCCGAAAACAAATTGAGCCATTTTTGAGAAAATTTTTACAACTGCTTCGCGTGTAAAATACCCACCAAATAATCAAAGCATCCTTTTCAAATTATCACAGTCTCGAAGTTGCCCATATCGATTGAGAAACAACAATTTTGGAGAAAATCGTGTGAACTAATATTGAACACAGGCTGTATGGACAAAATAAACGTTTTGCACTAAACCAATTTTTAGTATCAACAACCCACAAAACCTTGGTTTTTAACTGCACAACGTGTTAGAGGAAAAATATATAGTGCACCTATAGGAACATGATGTATCCTCTTTTTCGTAACGAGGTCTCCACAATACAAAAACTGTTTTTTTGACAAATAATTGCCATTCTCTTCTTTATAACAATACTTTGCATTTACTATATAAGTATTGTACATAGTATAGCGAGAAAGTGAAACTGTACAGGCTTGAAATCTTGTTATTTGCGAAATTATTCAACTTGTAGTATGTGTTCATCATTCACTGCCTACATTGCCTTCCCTAAGCAACCGTCACTGACGGAAGCATGAAAATATATGACAATGTGCAATTATATTTAAAAAGAATCAAACAATGTTAGAGAGACCAACAGCAACGGTATCTATTTACGTTGAAAATAATTTATATTCCTACATTCAATTTTGAAGCCGTCATAAGTATATCCGTCAGATGTATGCACATTACTTACCTGAATAGATAACCCAAGGCAGCACTGCATTTCATGGTTTGATCTTGGTAATGTTCAGTTAACTTACTGGATTTCTCTTGAGCGATGTTGTGATTTTCTAGGTCGTATTATCTATGCACACACACACTACTGCATTACATGACTAACTTACGAAGTCAACATACACTGTCTCCGCTTTACCTTTACTCCGAGCTCTGACAGGAAAAGGATTGAAAACACAAGCGGGAAAATCCATGCATTTCACTAGACAATCTATCACTACATAAAACGATATCTACGATTTGTTTCAAAGCTTCTTTAACTACAATAAATATATATTGCACATTAAATCATGCTATTATTTTTTACATCAATTCTAGAGTATTATTAAAATTTTGGTACAATCATACGGGTACTTTGAAACAAACAATTTAAGATAACATAATATTCGAGAATCTTATTTCTTAAACGTTTGTATAACCTTCGATCCAAATACCAGCATACGTATTGTTGCCTCTTAAGCATATAACGAATGGTATTATTTGGAATCCTGTGAATGTTAATAAGAAATCCACTACTTGTATTTATTGCGTGGGGTCAATCAAAATTGTTTACAAAAGTATCGTTATTGTAGAGCGAACAGACATTATGATATTTCTTTATATATATATATATATATATATATATATATATACAGAAGAATATGTAGTAGGAGTTAAACATTTATGCATGCATGCACACACAACTACAAAACAAATTTTAAAATTATGGTGTGTAACTATAGACAAAGTGTATGCGAATACACAAAATTTAAATCTTACAGCCGATCTCCGTTTCTATAGTTACAATAAAATGCGTACTAAATGTATAATTACTCTTTGCATTTGCTTACATTCAGGGGTTGTTTCTAACCTTGCTACTAAAGTAATTTTTTTCATGATATTGTTCTTATTGTCTCGGTAATATAAATCTCTCAAAAAATGGTATTTGCAGTGAGCAGTGGTAGTGTCACTTGCATAGGTGATTATATAAAGTTTTTATTTTAGATTTTAGCAAGTCAAGTAACATTATAAACGGGAGTTCCGTAAGTTATATAATAAGTGTTTTGTCTGACAAAAACCACTGTTGATCGGTCATTGCCTTGAAGATACAATTTTTAATTTATCATCTACTACGATCTTACGTAGTTAAGTGAAAATATTATAATGCTATATCGGAAAATGGCGTTTTTCCGTCAGAAAAACTCATATAGTGCAGCCCTGGTGACAAAAAAGTTGATAAATCATGTATCTATTAACAATTTACTCGTAACACGTTTGGTAAACAGAATCCACATCCACGGGTACTTAATAGCGGAACGTTACTTCACAGAAAAAGTCTGTCTGGCCTTCCATCTATCCATCTGTCCATGGTCAGCGCTTGCACCTTAATCGTTTAGACGAGTTTCTCCAAAACTGGTATTCCCTGATCGATCTGGATGAACTTGAGACCCTACGAATTTCAACCAGATATTTTGTTTTGTGGGTATAGAACACAAGAAACCTAAACATTTTCAAAATTTACTAAAAAATTGTAAACTTTGGGATTATTTCCTTTCTGGGATATAGGAAAGAATGGTTAATAATAGTACCGATTCCATGTTTGTTGAACTCTGAATTTTCAAAAATTGCAAATTTTCGAACTTTTTTCGGCGTCTTGCTACAACTACAATACTGAAGATAGGGAATAATAAGGGAGTAATTTCCCCGTAATTTTGCATGAAATATAGGCAATTTCTGACCTATTATTTTCTAAAAAATGGCTTCAAATGTATTCATTAGAACTTGTATTGTATTGTATAATGTATTAAATATTTGCTGTCGAGGAATAAACTGCACGAGTACATTGTTAGTTGATAATACCAATATTTCTTCCAACAAAATATTTTAACAAAATATAAAGATTTGGCACGCACCAGTCCATTGTATTTATTAAGAAAACATCATCTCTTTAATACCTGCTTAACCAATGCGAACTTATAGTATCCCGCAAGAACGTTGTATTCAATATTATTAATTTAATTCCTCCCATTTCCCTCCTTAATTTCGCCTATTTTTTTAAAACTTGAGTAAAACGTCATTTGTCGCCCCCCCAAAAACAAGAACAAAACAAAACAACAGGCAGTGATATTATATGCTGTGTTTATGGTCCAAAAAATATTTACCTTAAACATACATTTGTGGTTTTATATAATAGAGGAACTTTTCAGAAACATAATGTTATTATTTACGAAAAACAGCAAAATATATTATTTTATTGATTTTTCTTTTGATGTTTTGATTTTCTAAATTATGTTGAGAATTCATACTCCATCACGTACCTACCCTAAAATCTTACATCTCATTGTATTGGCGCAGTATGATTATTATACCTAAAATACATTTGAAAAAAATGCTGAGAAGTACTAAATCTCTATCGACAGTTTGTACTACCAGCATCCATGGAAAAATAACGAACAATTCATCCATGTTTGATGATGTATGCGTAAGTTATCCTCTGAATGGAACGAGAGACTAAACATAAGAGAAGGAAAGATGCTCTCAAAATGACAAACTAAGAATAACTGAATTATTTCTTGACGTCGATACATCTCTTTTCTACAGAATTGGGAAGCACCTCAAACGTTTATGTTCATGTTTGCGTGGAATGAAGTAGCATCTACTTTATACATTAGATAATACAATCTTTCTAGCCTTCAACAGGAACAAAACCTCCCACCAAATCCAGATTTTGAAGGATATTCTCTAAATGAGAGGATACACAAATCATGCTACACCAAGAAAACAAACAAGCAGTGTTCTGTACCTGCTTTTGGTTCTTCGATATAGAACACAACATCACCTTCACTGTCTCGCCTGTTGCTGTTCGCGCTGCCTTCGAGAGCATTATTTGGAACTTCCATTCTATTTTTTGACTTTCTTCGCTTCAGGACACTTGCTTTCTTCGCGACCTGTATTATCAGAGACTGTGACAAGTTTCAGTTAGCTGAGTAGCACACCAAGGGATACAACATCGACATTCTTTACATGCAGGAAAGAAGGAAGCAAATCATTCTCTAGCAGGGAAATTATTGTTGTTGCCGAAGACATCCAGAGTAACACAGAGATAGAGAATTATTTTGCAACATCTTCTGAAACGGAAAGTGGTTATACAGCATATTTTTCAGAAAACTTAACGGCGCCGCTAAAACCTAGAAAACGCATTCAGTCGGTGCACATATGGTTCCATGTAAATTAATTATCTTAAAAGAAATTTCTCTGACTTGTGGGTAAACGCTGTTTATATTACGTCATTTCTGTCTGCACGTACAGAGTTTTCTTCCTTTTGCATGAAATCATTTGCTTAAGTGTCAAGTGAGCTCATAGTTTTCCTAGAGTGCATATAATAATACACAATTTGAGCATTATATGAAAAAGCGCTGGCAGAATTGAACTAATTTTTTTCTAGAACTATCATTCTTTTACCTAACTAGATCCGAGAAAATGACTAATTATGGACATGGTGTATGAGGATGTCATTAAATTGGTAAACCTTATAGGGTCAGTCGGAGCTATTGCGATAAAGAAATGCAAATTTTTCACATTATCTTCTATACTGCTTGTAGCAAAGACATGAAAAAATACTGAATATGTGTCTCTTGGTGCTAAGGCATGTACGAAGTAAAAATAACTTAAGACTTCCAACAACTCTTAAAAAACCAAAAGTGTGGTCAAATCACCTAATGGGGCTAATACGATACATTGATGGGGCTAAAGTGATACACCTTGATATCTCTATGAATTTTGATTGGGAAACAACGAGTGGGATGTAGTGAGACACCTTACGGTCTAATGTCTCAATAGTATTTTTTTCATTTTTTATATTTTGCTATATCTAAATTATAAGACTGTTTCCGATCGTCTGAAAGTGGAAAAAATTTAAATAAAGGTAATAAAACATGGTTTAAATAGTTTTTAATAAAGTAAATTATCAAAAAATTGTTTATGCATTGAAGTGTAATAATAATACAATTAATAGGTCCTGAAGTGATAACGTCACTTAATAGGTCCTAGGTTAAAATATAAAGGGTCCTGAAGTGATAACGTCACATTGATTTGACAGTGTAAAAACGCGTGCCATGGATTTTCCTTTTAGCATACTGGTTTCTATATTATTTTCTGTATTATGAAATTAATTTAAATAATTAAATATTGTTTCAAGATATTTTATGCGTTTTTTCTCATCAAAACTATTATTGTACAGAAACACAAATATTAAAATTCCTAGCAGTAGCAAAAATGATTCCCCATAAATAGTCCAATATTGTTAAAACAACAAAAATAAAAAACTATCCTCTTGGCTGGGAAATTATTTTTTTCTTGGCTGGGAAATTATTTACCAAAATAGCCCCATCATTCGTTTCATATTAGCCCCAAAAATTTGAAGTTGCATATATCATGGCACGATTAATATTTTTGAAATCTTTTAACGCAGAAAAATAAATTCATTCTTTCTGATTGATTACCTATTTTCACAAATATTTTCCCAACAAAATAATGAAAGAACATCAAAAGTTTCTTATCTTAGCGGAAAATTTTTTGACTGTTAAAATAAATCATTTCGGCTTTGATTTTGTTTGCCCAAATGCTGTGATATTTTGAGTTCTTGCTATGTTGTCATTAATTATGGAATATATTTCATATATTTCCTATTTTTTTGTAAATTTTGGATATAAATAAGTAACGATTCTTAAAGTTTACTACATTAGCCCATTTTTTCTGTATCATATTAACCCCAACCGACCCTCCTAATCTTTCACATAACAGTGAAATCAATTTTTAACCTGTTTGAAAATATTTTAGAGTTGGCGATATTACCAAGAAAGGGAATGATTGTAAAAATGTTTTAAAATGTCCATCGGAATTGATAGTTAACTCTTGGGATTTGTGGCGCGGTTACGTTTTAAATTTATCTTGAAATCCACAAATTTTCTCCTGAAATCTACGTTGAAAGATAGGTTCACGGCAGTACTGTAGATGGATTTTCTCATCAATATTTTAACTTTCAAAACAATACTGTCCTCAATCCTTGATAAGTAATATAGCAGCCAGTCTACAATACATTTTGGGTGAGAAATTCACTAAATAAAAAATCGCCAAGAAAGTCTGTATCGTAATAACAAACGTTGAAAACTCCTGAAGAAGAAAATAAATTTTCGAAACGTAGAGAGGGATGAAATACTTATGAAATTATTAAAATATTTTAATAAATCAGTTTTATCTAAATTATGTTTTTCTCGTTAATGTGTTCTGATTTTTTAGTGGTTTTAAAAATGACTCTCTAAAAAATTGTGGACAAAAACCTATATATATATATATATATATAAATTTCAGTTTACATTTACGACGTATTCAAGAGCTCTCACGAACTTTTGAAACCTGAGAACCTGAGGTATGATTTAAAAGGCACAAATCTAATCTTCAAGTAAAATTTACAGTAAAATATTGGCATATTACCTTAAGATAAAGGCAGTTATAGAAAAACGAATTAAATTGTCGAATTTTCTTTTTGAGATACCGGCATTCAAAATTAATTTAACTTTCATCTCCTTAATTTTTGGAAGCCCAATCATAATTGAAAAAAATTATAATAGAGAGAAGTTATTTGCCAAATGCTCTTTGTTCTAAACGGTATAATTATTATTTGTTTATCGTCAAGAAACCATATACATTTCAAATATTTTTATAAATATTCTTTCGTTTTGTGATTCATTCATTCAACATTGAGGTCGAAGTAATTTTTTGTGAAATTATAATTTTAATGACATGCAGTGTTCTTCTGAACAGTTGAAAATCTATAAAAATCATATCAGTAGATGAAAGGTACCAAAGGCCAGTATGTCGTTGACGTAACTTCTGGCCGTTGATATCAATAGTGGTTGTGTCACGATGATACACGGCTTCGCTAGCAGGGCGTTGGAAACTCGTGATCTAGTTGTCCATCGCACGGACGTCGATTGTTTAAGTTCGTCTCATCTGAATATTTCGTTATCAATATTACTCAATTTTGGGTAATTAACATATACATGTTACTAATACAGAATGAACGATGCAATTTAACAGTTTCGTATTCATATTCGGAAATATGAAATAACTTTTTAGTTTTAAAATGTAACGAATATGTATGTAAAATCAAACCGAGAAATGCAAACTTTGCTTTTTTCTATGCCATAGGTGGGAATATAGAAAACCAACCAAGAAAATAGAAAAGTATGGAAATATGAAATGTTATTTACAGATCTCGACATGCACACATGGTCATGCTTGATCCACCAAAACATTCTAATATCTAAACATACAAACCTTGCCAAGGGGAGTGCTTGAACTGGGATTAGTTTGACTTGTGTCCTTGATGTATATCTTCCATGTGGCGTGACTATTAAAAGATTTGTCAGCAGCGTAACATCTCCAAAGACATTGAATCAGCATAGCAGCTGCGGGAATTTGCCTATTGAAGTGTTTTTGCCTTTGTTTCTGTTGTACCTTTAAAGCGAATCCAGATCCCAGGATACCCTAAAAGACATTTCACAATAAATTACTTAAAACATTATGATTATTGGAATGATTTAGTCACACGAAAGTTGACTGCACCGTATGCAACCACAGAGGAATGGAACACTTACGGCTGGCAAAGCGAAGAAAGAAATGGCGAATACGCTGAAACAAGAAGCCACGATTTTTCCCATCCAAGTCTTGGGAACTGTATCACCATACCCTATTGTTGTAACTGTGATCTATTAAAAAAACATGAAATTACAAAAAATAATATATACGAGAAAAAATTATTGAAATTGGTTCTGATATTCATACAGGTTTTTAGCAACTTGTCAAAAGAGTAAAGTCGATAAGTAAGGATAATAATGCTAAATAGTGGCATCACTACTTAAAATTGAAATATTTTAATAAAGCAACTCATTAAAAAAGAGACACGTACGTTTCTTTACAAGTATAAAAATCTTGAATATCTTTGTCTCTCAGAAACGAGAAACTAATACTTACCACTCCCCACCAAAGCGCGTCTGCGTAACTCTTGAAATCAGTTTTATTTCCATTGCCACCTTCATCTTTTTCCGCAAGATACACAAAATAACTACTGAAAATTAATCCCAGGAATCCAATATACAGGGTTGTAATAAGTTCCTGAAATTAATTGATCTTCCGTAAGGAAAACGTTACACTTCATCATTGTTGGCGATAAATTAGGTAGTATAATAAAATAACTTCATAAAATGAAATTAGTAAATATATATTTCTAATTATAATAAATATTACAGTTAATATTTGACTCTACCTGTCTGTGAATGAATACAACAGAACCCAATAATCTCCATGTGCCACCCTGACGATCTACATGAAGCATACGAAGAATCTGAAGAAATCGTATTCCTCTAATAGCAGAAGTAGCAAAAACTTGGCCATTGGAACCTAATGTGAGCACTACTACGGAAGCGACGACCACAATAAGGTCTGCAACACAAACAGTTCACATTACACACGCTGTATTACGATAAGACATTGAATGCATGCAGTTGATAGTTACAAATTTGTAATATACTCTTTTTTTAATTAGTTGAGTCTGTGTAGACGCAAAGCGTCTCCTAGCTCCTTCAGGAGCGTTGAGAGCATCGAGGAATAATCATCCGTTAATTTACAATTGGAGAAATATAATGTCCGTTGTTTATCACCCAGCAATCTAGGAACCGCTGGATAGTCAAGTCACGTCAGTCGCAGTCAAGTCAGAGAACCGCGTCTCGCTCGTGCCCTGCGTCATCTACCTATCGGCCAGAAATTGGGAAGGAGTAAGGAGAGGGGTAAGGTTCACAGGTAGGACGCTCCACAGGGGTTGGAGTACCCCTGTGAAGCATGCAAACTCATTTCGTCGTAACAAATTTCATATGAAGTTCTATGGGGATTCTACGGGAATCGAACCCGGAACCTCAGTGGTGAAAGTGGTGAAAGGCAAGCTACTTCGCCACTGACCCACGAGAGCATATAGTTTATACTTATAATTTAATATAAGGATGTGACAATTAGTTCAAATGAGGTTTACAAAACCACGTAAAAAAGATCTCGGAGATAACACACTGATTCATTTGGATCATTAATAAACTTGGCATTCATCGTGTTGCATGTGCCAGGCGATTGGTGTGCCAGGTGTGCCAGGTGCTAGGCGACACACCTGAATCAGGTAACGGAAATGCGTTTCATGAACCACAAAGGTCAGTTTTCTTGCAATACAGGCACATCTGGCTCTTAAAAGATGTATCTGGCTTGTGGGTGACAGAATGATTTGTATTACCCACAGTGGTAATGGGATATTAATAAATTGTGGTGAACTGAAATAAGGATTTCGTCTATTAAATGATTATTTTAAATATATTTCTGTTTGTTTCAATTTATGACAACCCTGTGTGCACAGGTGTTCAGCAGGTACATGAAATGTCCTTGACAACGTTAGAATGTGACCTTCTAAACATCTTTGCACATGAGGTAGCCTAAAAATCAGGGGGAAATGGCACAATAAGCGTATCACTCCGTTATACACATTACCATTATACACAGGTAATTCCAGACGTTTCCGGCCTGATATATCGATCAGACGGTCTAATATCGCTCATCAATGTGAAAACCTGAGTAGTTTATAGTCATATCTTCAATTGTTGTAATGCTATAAGTTTGTAGACGACATCTCACTCAGTTTTGTGTAGGGAGGTAATACTTGAGTTACATGCGGTACGTGATATCTCATGGTATAGATTCTTCACGACAACGCACCTATGCTTACTACTCAAATGGCAAAGAATGTTGTGAAGGACTATAGGTTTAAGGAGTTGGACTATTCACGCTACAGTCCAGATTAGGCACCCAGCAACATCTACCATTAATCAAACCCTTCGGAGAAGAAAATATTCAAGTGAGTGTGAGGTGAAAGAAACGTTTTTGGCCATTTTGTGAACAAAAATTCGGAATATTTTTTCAGAGGCTTAGAATTGTTAATATACATATGTAAAAATTGGGTTGGAATTAATGATTAATGAAGTCGAAAAGTTACGTAATTTTTTTCTTTCTATCAAAATAGAAGTTAGTGAAGCCAGATATCTATAAAATCAACCTCGTATGCTCATTGGTAAAAACGTTATCATTTTTTACTCCTCAACCTGCTCTACAAATTTATAAAATTTATTCTGAGACACTCTGCGTTGGGGAAAATGCCAAGTTTTCTCAGGACAAATGAGTCGAGGATTCAAGAATCTTCTCACACTTTTCATTTCGTCAATTTATGAACTGAACGATTATAAAAGGATCCTCATTCGTAAATAATATTAATGTAAAAATAGGGACAAAACGTTAAAATCAGGATAATCAATACGTTGGCTTTTATTTCTCGCCTTTCGTAAGAAGGAAGTGTTGTAATTGTGCGCTGAAAAACGGCGAATTTTCGGCAGAAAAACCCTTAGTAAATTACTTCATCGAACTCGTGTAGTCATAATCCATATCTTCTCGGTCCTTGATACCGAAAAAACGATTGAAGGAAAAACGTCGCTTCGTCCGTCCTGACATTCGTTCGACTGTCCGTCTATCAAGCGCCTGAAATCTTAACATTAACACACTTTTCACAAAAATGGGTTCAAAGTTGTTAATTTAGCTTTGTTCTCGGATAACGTAAATGACGCTTAGGAGAATGTTGCAGGACCAATGTTCGTTGGAATTCCGGTTTCGAAAATTGCAAAAGTTCTATATTTTTACGTCTTCCTGCAACTACAATATTGACTACATAGATTTTTTCCTTAACGAACTCTGTTCTATAAACGTAAATCTTTCAATAATGTTTTGTGCAACTCTTCTTAAAGTGAGTAGTTTTCGCGTAATTTTGCGTAAAAGAAAGGCAATTTTTAATTTTTTCATCAATTTTTCTCAAAAACAGTTCCATTTTTTCTTTAAATATTTTGATTTAATGTATCAACGAACAGTAAAGAAGCAAGTCTCATTTCCGGTGAACACTACAAAATGGAGAGAACAAGGAATCCTTAAGAATGGTGTATGTCTCATCTTCTTTGAACTCTCTAAAATTTCGAAAATTGACGAGAAAGTAAGCTCTGTTGTATCACTACTAGTTACACATGTTACACAAATGAGACAATTCAGTTACTGCAGTTGTTATTGCTTCAGAAATATTTAGACGATTTTACATCAGTTTAAATGTTTACACAATTCGAACATATTTAGAGTATAACATGAATGCTTTACCTATAATGCAAATTGGTTTCCTTACGAAGCGAAATCTTCCACAGCATCCCATATATTTGGACCTACATCCCGCTGACCAGAGTCGAACTATGTATTCCACGCCGAAGAACACCACGAGACATATTTCCTGAAAAAGATAGAATTTGTAAGTTACTTATCAAATAATTGTAGAGGTATATGTTCAGAATTCTATAAGTAAAACTATACCATGCAACCCTTTTATTTTATACAACTACTACTATTATGTAGTTTGCCTTTCTACAGCACTCTTCTGTTATTTAGCGACTTTGTTAAGAAAAGATACAGGTGCGTACCTCGACATCTGTTTCTGATGCACGAAAACACAAACTATCAATCTAAGTTTTGACGGGTAGAGGTTTATCGAACGCAATTCAGGAAATTATTTTCAAAAAAACGTGAATAACGACGCCATTTACTTGTCCAATAATATGTCGCGTTGCATGCGATCCAGAGCCGCTCTGGTCATTCTCACTTTCATCCACAGTTCGGGAACAGGTAGTTAAGTATCGAGAAGCACAGGAAGTCATGTGCCATGAACGATAGGTTACATAGATCTTTCAGGTTCCCTCGATGGTGAACTCAGTCAACCTAAACACTGTTTGGGTTACGAATTTGTTGGAGTAAACGAAGCGAAATAGAGAATACAATAAGCTTAGGGGCCGTCTGTAAATTCCGAAACGCAAATTTGGAGTATTTTGAATACCCCCTCTCCCCCACTGTAATGTCCACGTGACACGCACTTGACTCCCCCTCTAAATAATTACATAACGCCTGCGACAACACCCCCTTGTATATGCAAGAAATTAACATAAATTGTAGCACAGTAAAAACAATTAGTATTAGTTTTATTTGTGTTGAATATTAAATTTTATGATAATTAACTTCGGAATTAGATGGCGATGCTGACTGGCATCTAACTTTAAGATTAGGGACAAGTTTTGATCGAAGGAAGGACTCATAGGCGAGAAATTTTCTTATCACAAGGCGTACACACGCCGACGTGGCCTGAGAAAGAAAACAAGTATACCACTTTTAAAAACACCATCAGGTAAAAAATATGCACCAAAAGAGAAAGCAGAAGCCATGGCTTATTATTTTGTTCGTTCACTCCTAAGAGCACTCTCACACATCCTGCACTAATGGATATATCAGACGTAGCATCAGCACTAAATTATAATATTCTATACAATAAAATACAGTTCCCCAAATGAAATTAAAAACGTAATAAAAATATCACTCTTAAAAAAGCTCCTGACCACGATAAAATAAGTAATATTATATTAAAAATTTGCCTAACGCCACAATAGCTTACATTAATAATATATACAATTCAATTCTCAGAACAGGATACTATCCAATAATATGAAAACGTTCCAACAAAATAATCCCCATACCCAAACCCCATAAAAATCATAACCATTCCGAAAGTTACAGACCAATCAGTCTCCTCCCATCTCTGACAAAGATTCTAGAAAAAAATCCTAAAACGATTTAATAACCATCTAAACATAACTCAGACCAAACAGATCATCAATAAATTATTCACCTCACACCAGCTACTACGAACACTTGCATACTTCATTCCAGAACGCACAACACACAATAGCCACCCTTCTAGACATTAACAGAGATTCGACAGAGTTTGGCACGCAGGCCCAATATTTAATCTAAAAACCATAGGAACTCCAATTGACCTATTACAAATCATTAAAAATTTAATAACAGAACATTTACGGTAACAGTCGAGAAGAACGTTGCTTAGGCCATTAAGAAAAAAAAAGTTGTTCTTTTTGATCTAATGTACAATTTAAATCGGAGATCATGTCGATTTGTGGGATGATAGAAAGGCACATCTGTGCAGTCAAAGCATATTCAAATGAAACATCCACACTTGTTTAGGCTTGTGAATTATGTTATTTATTTTGCCGTGAGACACTGTGCTTCATTACCGTGAGTCCCCTTGCCTTCCAAGTTGAGTTACTTGATCACCGTAGGACTCCTTGCCTGACTCGGCAGGGTGAACCTTGCCTCTCACTGTCGGGGTACTTGATTATCGTGAGTCCCAGTGTCTCTCAATATCAGTGTGCTTGATTATCGTGAGTCTTATTGTCTCTCAATATCAGAATGCTTGATTATCGTGAGTCCCTTTGCTTCTCTTGATTATCGTGAGTCGCTTTTTGTTAATGCAGTTATACACTTCAATTTTGTATCCATAAGATTGTGCATATCTGTGAAGACTCGAACATGCTTTGCTGCTTCACGAAGACTTTGAGAAATGCCCGAAGATGCTGACCTCTAATGATATGAAGTCGATGATGAAGCAGAAGACTCTTAGTAACATTTCGGGTAAGTATCCTCGATCATCTAAATGATGTTCACATGTTCGAGTGTCTTGCGGGCCAAAAATATTTTTGATCACAAAAATTTAGAACATCAATCTCATACAGTTTGGATCAGCTTCTATATTTTGAATTTCATTGAGAAAACTTATATTACAATTCAAACACATTCTAGTATCATCGTTTATTTCAACCGGAGGTAAATGTGTCATTATTTCGTGCTAATGCGATATCTATTTTGTATGTATTATTCGCATCACAGTTTAGAAATGCTAATTGTCTAGGGCCGAATGCCACACCGCAAATGAAACAGTGTGGACTTACCATTTCTCTTCACGCGTCCGAACGATTCAAGTTTCTGAAATAAAGTGAAGGAAAAGTGTTGAGATGTGCACGCATTGACATACCCATCTACGCTCCTTTGTTCCCTCTTCCACTTCATCTGTGCCTCCACTCATTCTTACCTCACTACCTCATTCCTCCTACTCATACTCCTCATTCCTCCTCACTACCTCGCAGATACTGGAGTGAGAAGAGAGGATAGAGTGACTTGCACTTAGTAGCAAAAGCTTATGTTCAAAGTGATATTTTGGAAACAAATAATGTCAATACTTTTAAAATAATACTTTTAAAATATGCATTTATGACCTAAAAGATCTTAAATATGCACTTTAATATGCAATTAAAATTAACAATATTTCATTTCCTGTAAAAACCTTTCTTGATAAAATTCTGGCGAATCATGCTTGGAATGAAACATTTGTGCTAATATAATAAAATCTACCTTGCTTTACGAGAGAAATAATTGAAGTAAATATTCCCCGAGTATGTCTTGTTGCATTTGTTCTGACTGGTTTAAAAAAATATCAAGAAACTACATCCGCACAAGTATTGTATCATCTCTAGAAAAGAAGAAGAAACGAAACACAGACTGAAGAAATTATGAATGCTCTTTGAAATTAATGAACACTCACAAATAAAAATATTATATGAAAAGATGAAACGATTCAGAGATAAGTCTCCATTTTAAAGAATTATGTGCTTATAATTACATTAATATGCAGGGAAAATTGGCCAAATATGCACAATTATGCGCTAACATATTAATCTACATAGCATCCAATTCTAACCAAATGTAAAGGAATTTCACTTAACTATGCCCTGAAGCAACGGACAATATGCATCATCATAGAAATTCGCTCCCTACATATGAGTTTACAGGTGTCTCAGAAGAAATGTTACAAACGTTGAGGGCATGTACTGAATGTGGATCCAACACACCACGTTTTGCCACTGATTATGTGGTGTGAAAGTTTCATTTTATGAAGTTACATATGTGACATCTGTCCCTCATTGGAAGGCAATCCCTCGTGCGTGAATGTTTGGCAAGCCGCATTCTGACGTAGTCAAAGAAATCGTTACCCGCCAAATACCGATGCATGATGAGTTGCTTATCAAACAGGGACAAATGCCGCATGTGCATCTTCAGTAAATGAAATTTCCTACCACACGTTCATTGGGAACAAGTGATCATCTTTGACATGAACATGCCCATGGGCACCGCCTATCCTGCAAGTTAGTAACTCTTATTCTAAGACACATGCAGTTAGCATATATCTCTCAGCTTGGGTGGTGTGTCTGTTGCATAGCGTTTTCGACACGTAGAATTTTGGAAAGGGGACATAAAAACTGTAAATGACCGACCGGAGACGTTTCCTTTCAGCTTGCTCTGTACGTCTGGTGTTTTCGCAGTCAAGAATGTATATTTATCAAAGTGTTTAATAGTCCTGTAATTTCTTACGAACAAAGGACGAGATAACTAATAAAATAACAATAGATTACGTCTTAAATGCCATTCTCAAGATGCAAACCGCTAGTGCCGCACAGATATCCCGGGCTTGATTGTACTTGTTGAGATTCAGAAAGGATTTAGAAATAGCGGCTATATCGTTCATATGTTGCAATACTGTCACAACTCGAAAACATGTAGGACGTAGGGTGTTCCAATTAACTATGCGATAGTGTAACGCAATAGTACTATAATCACTAGGAGGAAAGCAATAGTGAAGAGAGAACCCTTTGTCTACTAATAAAACTACTCGTCTACTACATAAAAATAACAAGCCGTGATTAAAACCTGTTTCGAGAAATTACTGTAGTAACGCAAATTTTATGTATGTATGTGTTACCAGTTATTCTTTAGATTTTATTTCCCTCCACAGGACACACCCCATATATATTATTTCTCTCTTGTCAATTGCTTTTGTCAATAAGACAATCTCGAGGATTCCATGCGTTTTTCTTCTGTAATGCTGTACCTTGCTTCACTTAATGATTAGGTTCTATTAAAGGAAACGACATCACAGAGTCATGAACAATTAGTCGATATCGACATCGTTCTGCGTTACTTCAAGGAAGTTGATAATGTTATCCCGGATGTATGTAACTCGTACAAGTTGGTGGAGACTGCTAGACACAGAGTGCCAAACATTTGGTTGATTGTAAAATATTACGTTACTTATACTTCTGTCATTTGATTTTGTAATAACAGTTGCATATTTAGAATCCATGTCACTTTTTATTATGTTTGATGTATTTGACAATCATCTTCAGAACTGCTAGCAGTTGTAGATATATAATGAAGATAATCATAATCAGTTATATTCTGAAATACACTGAGTTCACTGTCTTTGCTTCCTAAGTCGTCACTCATTTCTTCAAACCATTTGTTGAGCCGTTTGAAAACAAAATACTAGCGCGCTTAACTTCTCGCAGAACCAACCACTTTTCAGATGCAGTTTGATTGTAATAAAACAATTGATTCAATTTAACATATGTAAACTGTGCTAGGAAAGATAAAAAATATAAAACGCAACGTTCTTCCCACAATTGAATGCATCACCTTTCCTCGGCCCAGAACTGCACAATTCTTAATTAAAAACTGTCGTTTCGTGCATCAGAACTATGCGCAATGCTTCAATAAAGCGGTGGACAAATGCATTCAACTGAAGCAGATGAGCTGGAAAATGTGTGAAAACAACTTACCATCCAGAAGAGAGTCTCGTTAGCGGAATCTGAATAATTGTCAATCGTTGACAGCACGCTGAAGATGAGACACACCAACACAAGCATGAATCTGAAACAAGGAGATTGGATAATAAGAAAGCATTCTACTGTCTTCTCAAGCAAAGAGTACGTCCGTTCAGTCTGCACTTTGAAGGTATAAGAAACAAACATTTGAGGAAGTAAAATGTCATTGCATATTAATTGATTAATGTGTCCGGGATCGTCAACTGCCATTAGTCACGTTAGTATTGAATATTTTTGTCACAGGAGGTGGCGGTAATTCCTTCTCGGCTAAATGGTGAGATCCGTCGCCGACCTTCACGTCAGCTTGCGGAGGATTTCCACACAGGGACGAGTATCTCCCCCCACCGGTGCACCGCCGCAATCCGAACAAGCTCTAACCGTGCAAGAGGAAGAGGAAGGAAACATCGCGCGCGGTTCTTGATCCGTTTGTTAGGGCACTCACGCAGGTATTCCGGCATTTTCCCGATATTGATCGGAGAAAAAACGGAAAAGTACCGATCAGAGCAGCTGTCGCTAGAATTCTCCAGACAGTGGTTGAATTCGACGAAGCTATCTAGTTAGTATCAAAATCTGCAATCAACTCGAACCCTAGGACTTCCTGGGAGTTTCTGCAGAGGCAGAGGCGATGGTGCTTTTGAGCCAATTACATTCCGTAACATATTCATAATGATTATGATGATGATGCTAATTATGATGATGTGTGGTTTTCTCAATACTGAATGCTATCAAATACATAGATCTTAATGGTCACCTTTTCTGGGTGGGTGATCTCATAGGTTGTTTGCCGATACCTCTCTCAGTTTGAAGGATAGTATGGGTCTTGAGTGGACGATCATTAGAGATGAATGAATAGAAAAAAATATTGTTTGACACGGAAAATAAAGTGGGGTAAGAAGGCAAGACAAACTTTACCCATGCCTTCTGCGCCACCGATGCTGACAGTATGTTAGTAAAATGTTACAATTTTCCTCAAACTTCCAGGTTTTGGGAAATATAGTTAAAAATAGGAATTCCTAAATATTTAATTCAAATCCAATGAATTTGATTATTTTTAAAAATTTTGTCTTTGAGGCCTGATTTCATTCCTCAAATGAGATAAATAACAAACAAACATTTTAACTAATCATTATGGTACATGTAACAAACATACACATTTCAAGTATTCATTATTTTCAATAGTCTACATTAGTGCGGTATGTCTCTGTATATAGATTTTGTATTCCAGTGTTTAAACAATATTACACAACATGATGAAGATTGGAGTTCTTACTACATATTATTAGAATGTTTATAGTGGTGAAATGTTTTTTTTCTACTCTGCTCTAAAGAAGCGAAATATTTAGAAATAAAATATTTTCAAACAGAAATATCAATGTAAATATCTTGCTCTGTGTGTGGGTACATACACAGGTATTTCAGAAAAAAACCAGAAACGTCTATGTTATATTAGGATTGAATGTTATCACTTTTTACTAATGAACATGTGGGGAAAATTTCATTTACCTAATAGGTGAGCAACACATCGTGACAGCAAGTGACGTTCTGACGCAAGAGATTTCATGTAAAAAGTGCATGATGTGTTACCACCCAATCAGGGACAAATGTCACATGTGCAACGATGCTACAGTAAATTTTACGTTATATGTTCATGAGCAAAAAGTTATCATATTCGATTGCTCCACATGCTTTAAAAGATTGTAACACTTAAGCCTAGCGCGCTGCGTCGCTACGGCACGGACGGACGAGACTTTTTAAAAGTTGATTACATTGATTTCCTTAAGGGTACGCGCACTAGGGCGGCACGGACGGGGCGGGACGGGACGATCCGCAAAAAGTCCCAAGGAAAGGTCTTCTGGACATTCCCACGTCCCGATGACGTCATCGGCAGGGTCGGGACGTCCTTTCAGTGATGAGGTTAAGTGAAGCAGTGGCACTATCATGAATGCGTCCAATTTAATTATGTTGATCCAGATTGATTGAACAGAATTATGATACAGTGTGATATTAGGTTTTATTTAATGTATTACCTTGTTAGGAGGCGTAAGTTAATTGGTAAGCTAAACTATATGAATCTGGGAGTAACATTTGCCAAATTTAAATTTCTAGGTATTTATAAGAAGCCGCGTAGTATTGGTGGAACAGTTAATTTGTGCACAGTGAATAAATTATACCATGTTTTGAAATGATTCATTAGCGCATTAATCAATGTAATTTTTTGTATGTGTATTTTTTGTATATTATAGTGCCGATCATTTTCATAGGTTTCTAAATAAAGTAATGCAATTATGAGTCCGCCCCTTAGTTTTTTAAATTGTGTTCCCAACATATTTATTTACATCTTATATTTTTTAAAATATCCAATTTAGCT